CCCCTCACACCCCCTTCCCCCACCCCCGCAGTCACTCATCTCTCTCTCTATCTCTCTGTGTCATTTCATCACCTCCACCTCAATCAATCACCCATACACTGCGTGTGGGAGAGAGTTTGTGTGTTTGTGTTTGTGTGTGTGTGTGTGTGTGTGTGTGTGTGTGTGTTGCGTGCTATGGCTGATGATGATGATGAGATGATGGCCAACAAGGTGGCTGTGGGCTGGGTTGTGGGCAAGTCGGTCATGGTGTGGGACGCTGCCAGTACGTAACGCAGGTTACCTGCCAGCCAGAGAGAAGGTAGATGGGCGAGAGGGTGTTATGCCTGTACTTGGTCGTACATCGCTATTGTGTGCTGGACTCACTGTCTTCCTCATAGGTGTGGCTATCCTCAAGAGTCATGGCGTGTATGGTGATGTCCGTGGCGCTGAAGACGAGAACGGAGTCAAGCACGAGACGGCGGCTGTAGAGTCGTTGCTGCCTTTGCATCTACTAAAAGAGGATGCGCGATGGGCGGCCAATGAGGGGATCATGGTTTTGAAACAGGCCGTGCCCTTGTCTACCCTTGGTCTTGCTCATCGTCGCCGTGATCATGACACGCTCGAGCTTGATGACGAGGCTGCCTTTATGCAGAGCTTGGCAAACGGCTCAATCCTCAAGACCATGCTCGAGAAGCAGCTTGATACCGATGCGGCACAAGTAGGTCCCATTCCGAGTAATCCAGAGCCGCGCAAGGCCTGGATCGAGGCGCGCAAGGCCATGAGCGCCCGCCGGAAGACTCTGCTGGCCAGCGAGCCTTATTCATCAGTCCGGGTGACTGTCCCGCACCTTCGCGGTGACAGGCGTGGCATGGTAGCGCAGATTGTGAGCGTCTCCGACTGGTGGCCTACGATGACACCACACGAGGCCCGCCGGGTCTTGGCCTACGAGGATCTGCGCCGCAAGGGCTACACTCTCATCGACGGTATCAAGTTTGGAGCTGACTTTTCCATCTATGCTGGGGATATCGGCTCTGTTCACTCTTGCTATCTTGTTCGAGTCGTTGCCGCCGGCACCAACGTCATGGGGCCCGAGTTGGCCGCTGCCGCCCGAGTCTCCACTTTCGCGCGCAAGATCTCGGTCCTGGCAGTCGTCGACGTCGCCGGCTCTGTCGAGTATGTCCAACTGGAATGGATGACTCGCAAGCTTCCTCGCCTTCCTTCCCCGCCTGCATCTGCCGCTTCGCTCTCACTCCCGCTGCAGCCGTCGTCCGCTGCCTCCTCGGCCGATCCGACCAGCGACAACTACTCGCCGTCAGCGAGCTCCTCCCCTAGTTAACATTGACTACCTATCCACAATCTACGCTACAACACGGCACCACAATTGGCACTACCCCATCACACCGCATCAATGCCCGCAATTATCTCCCCAACCTCTACCCCTATCGATCTCCTGCCATTGTCGCATGCCCGGGCCCGCGCCCGCGCGCCAACAACACACACCACACGCCACCACACACACACGCACACACACACACACCACTCCACTCCTCCACTCCCCCCCCCTCCCTCCCTCCTCGCAGCCACATCTCCACATGGCCGCCACTGCTGGGCACCGGGTGAATAGCGGTGGCCCATCCTCATCCCCACCACCGGACTCGCTCCCTCATGGCCTGCTCCGGTTCAACGTGGGCACCTCACTCAACGACTCGTTTGATGCCTGCTCTGATGCGGAAGAGTCAGACTCGGATGGCCACTCGCTGGTCTCCTTCCTCCCACCAGCGATCAACGTCTCTTCTCCCTCGGCAACAAGTATCGGCGAACTTCGTGGCTCAGGCTCTCGTTTGGCGAAGACGAGGACGTCGGCTACCGCGCCACTGGCCGGCCGCATCGACTCGATTAACTCGATCTCGAGTGGAGGCGGAAGCCCGAGTGGTGTAGCTGGCTCGCAGAAGATCCCAGCTCGCTCGTTTTCACCAAGGTCACCCCACATTCCGCCCGGTGTAGCTGCTGAAGCCGATCCGGTCGACTCGTCCAACGCTTCCCGAACCTCTGCAAACGCGTCGGGCTCATCGTTGAAGGACGTGCTGACGGTGGCCAAGTCGGCGGTGCCGGTCACAGACCTGCCGCGCCTGCGGACATACGAGCTTCAGCGGCTGCCGTTTGGTCAGCTGCCGTCGGGCCTCCTCCTCCGCAAGGCGTCTGTCCAGGCCCACACCAAGCGGGTCTCTTCCATCCGCGCCAACCCGTTCTTCTCTGGCCGCTACGCCACCGCCGGCTACGACGGCATGATCAAGTGTTTCTCGCTCACTTCAGAGCTTGGTCAGTACCCGCAGGCTGAGTACGAGATGGCAGCCCATAGCGGCGCCATCCGCGGCATTGCCTGGCATCCCGACGGTCTTGTCCTCGCCTCGGTCGGCATGGACAACACCGTCCAGCTGTGGAACAAAGCGAGTCGCACTGCGTCGCTTCCGCTGCGTGGGCCTGGCTACGCCTGTGACATCTCGCTCTCTGGTGAACATCTCATCGTCTCGTCGCTCCGCTATGTCTACGTCTACGACATTGAGACGACCAAGCTGCTCCAGTCCATCGAGGCCCACGACCTCAACGTGTACTCATGCTGCTACCACCCCGCGTCGCTGGCGCTGTTAATGACGGCTTCAGACGACCAAACCATCAAGCTTTGGGATGTCGAGAACGGGCTCTGCGTCCAGACCTTTTCTGACCACCGCGGCTATGCCAACACCTGTGCTTTCTCCGCCAATGGCCACCTACTCCTCTCCGGCGGCAACGACGGCGCAGCCAACGTCTACGTTCTCGGCCAGGACGCTCCGCTCTTCTCACTCACGGATGCCCGCGGCCCGATCTTTGCCACGCAAGCCACAGACTCGACTATCTATACCGCCGGCTCGGACACCGTTATCCGCGCGTACTCGGCCGAGACCGGCGACCGCATCCGCTCGCTCCACGGTCACATTGGGACGATTCACGACCTAGCCGTTATCGAAACAATCCCAACTCTTGCTACCGACGACACCGTAGGCTCTGCGGTTCTCCAGTCGTCGTCGCTTCTCCTCTCTGGTGGTGTCGACTTGCTTGTCTGCCAGTGGAACTTGTCGAACATCGCCGCCTCGCTCGACGCCGGGCCCGACGGTGAAAATGGGGTTAACGCTCTCGACGATTCTGCGGATATGCTTCGAAAACACGCCCGCGAGGCTCTCGGCTCCATATCGCTTTCACGCCCAGCCACGGCCCGTGATATCGAGGACGCTCCCGAGTCAAACCTCCGCCTCGATGACCTCGACTCGGACTGGGGAGAGGACCTTGACGACTCGGAACTCGAGTCGTCAGACGACATACCGCCGAGACACTTGGGCCAGAGTAACGATCTTAACTGGTCTAATGGCTCCAACAACATCCCGTCCATTCTCCGCGCCGACGACGTGTGGTCGTCAAGCACCGAGCCACAATCGCTCGACTCGTCCACGGCCAACCTTGGCCTTGCCGTCGCAATCCCAAACGTCATCATCACATCATCGACGATCGAGACCCTGCACAACCGCCACGGCCGGGACGTGTCCGAGCTCTCCGGCTCAGAGTCGGTGTACAGCCAGAGCTACGCCAGCGTCGCGCCCAGCACCAAAGTGCCGGTCATCAATTTCGTCGAGCCGTCCGACGAGGGCGACGACTCATGGTCCGACCCGTCAGAGCCAGATAACGGCCTCCCGCTCGAGCTTCACTCGCCACTTTCGGGCCTTGGCATTCGCCTTGGTATCCTCTCGGTCCAGTCCGGCGAGACTCGGCTGATCGGCGCCGACGGTGGACCGCTGGCGTTGGCCGGCCTTCTTGTCGACCCGTACTTGGAGATTTCGGTTGCCGACCAGGTAGTGTGGACCGACTCGCCATCCACAACTCAGGACGGCCACTGGGCGACGTTTTTCGAGTTTGATGATCTGCACCCCCGAGGCGAGTCCATGTCGCACACAGACTTTGACCTTCGTCTTGCCCTCATGGAGCGCCGTGCCGACGGTACAGACGCCGTTGTCGACGCCGGCTCGATCTCGCTCTGGGCTCTCGATCCGGCAAGCATCAGCGACAGCTCTCTCGCCGACGCTTCCCTCCTTGGTGACCCGCAAGCGACGCCTATCCGCCTCAAACTTGCTTTGGACGCCGCAGACGTGGTCTTTACCATTGGTATTGTCTTTATCACTGCAACAGGTCGCTCGCACTCTTGGTCCTCAGACTCGCCGCTTGACTACTCCCAGACTCAGCTTGATGACCGTCCTGATCACCACCACCACCACCACCACCCACACTCGTACTCATCCTCAAACTCCTCGTCAACGTCGTCGTCGTACTCTTTGCCGTCAGATTGGAGCTCAGGCTCGGACTCGAACGCATCCATCGACATCGGGTAAACTAACCCCGCCCTCGTGTTGAGCATGGATCATGCTCTTCTGCTACTCTCCTTGCGTGCAGCATGTGCCTCTGTCCAGGTAAACGTGACCAGGGCCTATGGCAAGGACGTAACACGACTCGATTGCATAGTGCAGATGATTGTTGGATGTGTGGATGAGTACTGCAAGACATGAGCACTGATCATGCATTGATCCTCTTTGCAATGCATCTTTGCAACCTTCCATTGATGTGCCGCGCTATCGTCTTCCTTTTTCATCTTCTACCTCCTCCTAGCATACATCCACTACAACTACAGCTTCATTACCCTCTCATACTTGCACGTGGCCCAAATCTGATACTGATACACTCCCCCTTTCCCTCCCAAACCACCGCAAAAAGTCCCAAACTGCCCTTTCACCCGTTACGCTCCACGCAGCTCCGCACCAACCCGGCGCTACACATCGGGTGACCCCACCATCCATCACACACCACAAGCCACCGTCACCCATCACTCGTCCACCCATTCCCTTGTGTAGTTCCAACCTCTAACCCACGCCCTCCAACCCCGTCGATCTCACCGCATCTTGCCGATCCCCCCCCCCCCCCCCTCCCCCGCTTGTGTCCAATTCGCCCGCATGCGTCATGTCGCGTGCGAACGCGGCAAAGGGTCGTCCGGGCAGGTGTGGCTGGAAGAGGGAGAGGAAGAGGAAGTCATAGAGGCAGACTCGTCTCGAGGACTCCTCAGGCGTGTCTCAACCAACCGGTACCCCTATAGGGTGCTCGGTTCTTCCTCTATCTCAGTCCATACCACCGACATGTCGTTCTTCTCCTCTTCCTCGGCCGCCTCGCCATTCTTGCCGATCTCACCCTCGCCACTGTTGTCAACTTTGGCCTCACTCTCAGCTGATGACGATGATGAAGGTGGCAGGAATGGGGACAAGCACAATGGCGACGAGGGGAGCTATGACTACTCGGTCTCAGACTCGTTGAATGGCCATGGTCATTCTGGAAGTGCCCTTGGGGTGATGACATCAGCTCCTGCTCGGACCTCCATGCCGAGCTTGCCGCGTCGTGACGCGGCAGACGCCGCCGCAACTCGAACGGAAAGTCGTGGTCATTGCGAGCCGCGTTCGTCACTCGGTATGGTGGCACCACAGCTGACGAGTCGTCTCGCTGACGATAGAGTTGAGTCAGGGTGGCGGCGGGCAGAGGATGGCCAGGCCAGCCACGAGTACTATGACTACTACTACTACGACGACGAGCTGGACGACGGCGGAGAGTGTGTCAAGTCGAGCGAGTGGTCTGGGTCGACCGAAGTTGACGAGACTGACGAGAGCCGAGGCGGAGAGCTTACGGTGCCCAAGGCGACAAGCTCCCGGGTCCCGCGATCACCAGTCATCGACCCTCGAGCGCTGGAGCGCAAGGTCCCGCTGGTAGGCGAGCCCGGGAGCTTGAGATCGGCGAAGGCGACGATGACCCAACAGACATGTCCAAAGAGAACTCGCTCGAGTTTGGGCGCAACTTTCCGCATTTTCGCAGTGCTTCGAGCATACTCCACGATCGGCAAGCCGACGTGGAGCACCTCCGCCCAGACGGTGGCGAGGAAGAAGAGCTGAACTTTTCGCCCGAGACCTGGCTGCTTGTCATTGTGGCGATCGGCACGGTGCTAGGTGTGATGGCGACTATTCTGCTGGTGCGGCATCGCGAGCACTGCGGGGCGCGGTGGTTGGTGCCGATAGCAGGCGTTGTCTTTGGTTTTGTCGGCGCAATCTGGGTCATTCTCAAGCAGCGGTACGCCGGCCGCGAGAAGACGTGCACCCATCGAGTGGCGGCCCAGCTTGGAACGCCCTACTTTGAGATTGCGTGCTCTGTCTTTGGCTTTGTGTGGACGCTTGCGGCTATGGTGGAGGTCGACAGCGGGCCGCGGGTGTGCCGCAAGGCGAGTGAGACCGGGCGGGCACTGCTTGCAGCGCAGAGTGCCGTTATGGTTGTGCTCTGTGTTCTCAGCGTCACCATGGGCGTCTCGCGGATCCTGACAGGCTCGTACCGGGCACTGATTGAGGCCGGCGTCCGCGGCGTCCGGTACTGCTGCTGCTGGATGGGCCTTATTCGGCCGTGGCGGCGGCGCCGGTCGGCCAAGTACGCGCACGTTGTCAACGACGGCGACGGTGTGCGGCTTGTGATCCGGACGGTGGGCGATCCGGCAGGCGAGCAGCCGGCTGGTACGGTGCGGTTTGTGTGCGTGTCAGATACGCATCGCCAGCACCGCGAGCTTCGTCTGCCAGATGGCGACGTTCTTGTGCATGCTGGCGACGTGCTGTTCCGCGATCGCGGAACAGTCGGCGTCCCACCGTACCGCGGTGCCAACGATGGGCGCGAGGTCATCCAAGAGCTCAACACATGGGCGGGCGAGCTGCTGGACAAGCACGCGTTTGAGTGGATTGTCGTAGTTGGTGGCAACCACGATCTATGGCTGGAAGAGCAGGGAGCCGGCCAGGCGCAGAGCTTGCTCTCCAACGTGCAGTACTTGTGCGACTCGTCGGTGGCGCTCTCGTTTGGTGAGAGCCTTGTCACGGTTTACGGCTCGCCGGTCTCGGTCGGCGGCCGATCGCTCAATCGGGCGTTCCAGCACGAGGCCGAGTCTGAGGAGCTGAAGCGTGTGTGGGACCACATTCCTGACGACATCGACGTGGTGGTTACCCACTCGATGCCGTCCATTCTACGGCCGTCGTCGTCCAAGGCCGACGTGGCGCTTAGCAAGCGGCTCGCCTCTGTCCGACCGGCGCTTGCGGTTTCGGGCCATGTCCACCTTGCCCACGGCGTCGCCGAGGCTCACGGCACTGTCTTTGTCGGCGCCGCAAGCTGCAACAACTACTACATGCCGGTCAACCTGCCGATCGTCGTCGATGTCGAGCTTCCGGGCTCTGTCCAGCTCGAGCCGGTCTGATCATCCCGAGCAGTGGAGTACCCTACCGTGGTTGGTGCGTGTTCAATGCTGTTGTTGGATGCCGACCGTGATGGGCTGCTGACCCTCCCCCCTCCCCCCCTCCCCATCTCCCCCTTTTCTCTCTATCTCTTGTCTGAAAATCATTGTCAGTATCCCACCCACCCACGTGTTGCGTGTGCAGATGTGTGACTTGCCACTCATCATGCCGCTGGTTAGGCATTGACTCGGAAAAAAGCCCCCAACCCGTCAAAAAAGCTCTTGTCCCGCACCAGCGCGCTCGATCCCTGTCCCAAACCAAGCTCACGCAACTCCCCCCCTCCCCCCCCTCCCCCCCCCCTCCCTGGACTGGTGGTCACAGATGTCGAGCACGGTAGAGGTTGAGGTTGTCGACGGAACCACACAGAGCATAGAGGTCTCGTCGGCGACGACTTTTGGCGAGGCAAGCCAGGCGGTCGGGACGGGACTTGGCCTCAGCGAAGCGGCCAGCCAGCTGTTTGGTATCTTCCATATTCGGGCAGGATACGAACGGCTGCCGGAGAGCGATGAGCGGGTGCTGGCGACGGTGCAGGGATTTGGGGCGGATGAAAAGATGGCCAAGAAGAAGAAGAAGGTGTACAAGTATCGAGCTGGATCCAAGCTGGTGTACAAGAAGGTGATCCAGGGCAGGCGAAAGGAGCTGCTCTGCATCGAGGTGACAGCGTTGACACTGCTGTATCACCAGGCCAAGGCCGATGTCATCAACTCGGTCATTCCCACACATGGACCCGACGCCATCGAACTGGCGGGCATCCAGATGCAGATCGAGTTTGGCAACTATGACGAAGCTGCGCGTGCGCCCGGGTTCCTGGAAGACAATGGGCTGCTGGACCAGTTTGTGCCGGCGCGATCGCTGGCCAACAAGCTGCATACTGCGCGCGAGTGGGAGACCGTCATCTTCCAAAACTATGCCGAGCACTTTGGGAAGAGCCATGACGCGGCGCTGCGGTCGTACCTCAACGCGGCTCGGCGGTCCAAGTACTATGGCGGGCGGGTGTTCCTTCCGGCAAAGTGTTACCATCGCGGCTCTCTCATCTCGACGGCGCGGGTCCAGGCCATCATTGCCTCGAACCAGTTTATGATTGTGGATCCCAAGTCGCAGAAGGCTCTGTGGTCGTTCCCCTTTGCCTCGCTCTCCGAGTGGAAGGTCTCTGCCGACGGCCTCTCGTTTGCCTTTTACGTGGTGCCCAAGAACAAGCAGAAGCTCGATCCGTTTGTCCTCGAGACGCCGCAGGCGGCGTACCTTGCCCAGTCGCTTGCCGCCGCCGCCGCCGAGGCTGCTGAGGAGCTCAACGCCCGCAAGCTCGAGTCCATTGCCGCCTTCCGGGCCGCAGCCCGGCCGCAGGCGGACTCGCCATCATCGCGCGCCGTGTCCAAGTGGAAGGCACGTGCCGGCATCACGTCGTCTGCCTCCAGCTCGGACGCTGGCAAGCCGGTCCTCACTCGCAAGGTGGTCCGGACCCGCAAGTCGGCCGCCGCCGCTCCGCTTGTGGTGGATCCTGCCACTGCCCAGGCTGCTTCGGACGCGCTCGCCTCGGCCTCGAGTCCGAGTGCCGGACCCAAGGTGACCAAGCGCATCCGTGTCCGTCGCCGCAAGAAGCCGCGCGCCGCCCTTGCCGACCGTGATCGCCCGGTTGCTGCAAGCCCGGCGCAGCTGGCCATGTCATCAGTGTAAATGTCATGCACAAGTTTGTCCTAGGTATTTCGCCATCCGATCGTTCGACGGCGACGAAACGAGTCTCGCCGTTCGGGTCAAGCCAGCGACCAAGTCTGTGGCGTCAAACCGATTTTGTTTGCCACACACTTCTCGCTCGACATGGCCGACCTAAAGTCCATTCCGAGCTTGCTCACAGAGAGTCCTGCCGGGTGGGGTCCCAACCCCAGCGAGGTTACGGCTGATGCACTGCGCACAGACATTCCCTACGCACCCTTTGGCAAGTCCGACAAGATTGGTCGCATTGCTGACCCTGACCAGGTCCTCGTCTACCGCTGTACGTCCTCCTCGCTCCATCCCAGATTATACACCATCCACTTTGTGGGCCTCCGCCCCCCCCCCCCCCCAACCTGCCCCTCATCCATGAAAGACTAACGCCAACTTGTCCTCCAGGCCACACCCCTCCCTCCCTCCCTCCTCTCCATGCACTCTATGTGCTCCCCTCTTAACTCTAAGCGCGACAACGCCGAATTCCAGGTTGTGGACAACCGGTCGGTCAAGACGCGGTACAACAAGCGCAAGTACTTCCACCACAAGTGGCGGCGTCAGTACTACAACGCGCGGACGTACAAGGGCAAGCAGCGTGAGCAGCCGCGGACGGCGCTCACCAAGACCAACAAGACCAAGCCACAGCGCCGCAAGCAGCGAATCAACTACCGTAACTCGTACAACTGGAAGCGGTACCAGAACAAGACCAAGCGGCCTAACTCGATTCCGGTCTCGGAGGAGTGGGAGCAGGTCGACTCGATTCCCTTTAAGGAGCTCAATGACTTGGACGCCATTGAGCAACCGCCCCAGGTCGAGGACGTGTACAAGTGCGGCAAGGTTCGCCCGTTCAACGCTGCGCTGCGCGGCGTGGACACCCGGAACCCGCTCAAGCTCCGTCATGCGGCCGAGACCACGTTCCTCAACGTGTCGACGACCGATGACCCCATCATCCAGTCGCTCGCCGAGCAGGAGGTGGCGCACGTCTTTATGACCGACGATATCCTCGCTGCCCTCATGTGCGCTTCGCGCTCGGTCGATCCGTGGGACCTTGTGGTCAAGCGCATCGGCGACTACGTGTTCTTTGACAAGCGCGATGGCTCCAACTTTGGTATGTTATTCTTTCGATTGCCTCTCCCCCCTACCCCTCCCTCTCCCCCTTTTTATTGCGCCTGGATGGCTCCGAGATGATGAGCCTTCTTTCCCCTAATGATCGACCTTGATTCTAACCACGACCGATTCGCATCGGTCACAAATCGAGGGTCTCCTCTGCGAAAGTAGAGGCGGCCCACGTCAAGCCAGATTTTCTGATCCGAACCAACCAGCGCGCTCTTGCATGTTTGCGAGCTCTGCTGGTGGCCTGCCTCGATTGGCTTTCCCCCCCTTGACTCACCACCGCCTCTGCTTTTCTTTTCCACAGACTTCCTTCGTGTCCGCGAGACTGCCGCCGAGCCCCCGAACGAGGACGACGGCAAGACGTTCATCAACGCGCCCGAGCCGCTCTCGCGTGAGGCCACGCTCATTAACCAGTATTACTCGCAGCAGGCACTCGACGTCGAGGGCACTCCCATCGACTTTGGCAACGAGTCGCCGTTTGCCGAGGACGCGTCTGTCGCCGATGTTGGTTACACATACCGCAAGTTTGAGTACGAGTCTTCGGAGACCGAGGTCGAGAAGATCACGTTTGTGGTGCGGACCCAGGTCGACGCCTACACCATCAAGTCGTCGGGCCGCAAGGCCATGACTGTCCATGCCCTCCACGAGTACGATCCGACGCTTGACCTCAACTGGCGCTCGTCGCTCGACACCCAGGGCGGCGCCGTCCTGGCCACCGAGATCAAGAACTCGGCCAACCGCCTGGCGCGCGTCACCGCCCGGGCCATCGCTGCTGGCAATGATTTGGTTCACCTCGGCTTTGTCACGCGCACCAACCCCGCCAAGCACATCGACCACTCGGTGCTCGGCACCCAGACTATGCGGACTGAGACCCTCGCCCGCCAGCTGCAGATCGTGCCCGAGGCCCTCTGGGTCTCGGCTGCCGCCATTGTCGACTCGGCCCTTGCCCTTGGCGAGGGCACGTACGTCCTCATGAAGGACGCCAACGAGTCGGTTCTCCGCTTCTTTGCCGTTCCGGACAACTTTGAGGAGGAGCTCGCTGCCGGCCCGTCGTTTGCGTAAAAGCTGCGTGTGGAATGAAATTCTGGACACAACTGGGAGTTTGCTTTGCCTGTGTGTCGGCTGCGCAACACTACACCAGGCGGCGGCCAAACAGGGTGTACCGCTGGATGTCGGTGAGGTCCTCGGATGAGGCCGAAAGAACCCGATCCGGGAGCGGCGGGTGCGAGTTAGTAGACGAACTCGCGGCAGCCGATTCAGCATCGGTCGGAGCGGTAAAGGTGGCAGCAGAACTAGGAGCGGCAGCGGCAGCAGCAGTAGCAGCAGCAACTGGTGGCATTGGCAAGGGCGAGGCCGAAGGCTTGATGCTACTGTCAGGGCGGTCCGGGTGGTCGCCGAGTGGCCTGCGGAGCGACGGGGTGGCGTACGCTGCGGGCGAGTCGGCAGCGAGCACAGGGTCGAAGCGGGCGGGGTGGCGTAAGGTGTGGCCTTGGATCGCATGGAAGCAAGAGCTGCCGTCTGGGCATCGAGCGACTTGGCGTGGCGGACAGCAGCGCGGCCGAGGAGGCAGATGGAGACCAGGATCTTGAGGGCTACCAGGTTGAGGTAGCACGTGACGACGACGGCGAGCCAATACGGCGACCAGCGCGGAAGATGGGCCAGCGGAAGGACACGGGAAATGGTGTGAAGGAAGAGGCAAGCGAGCGGGATGGGAACAAAGCCGATGCGGTGCGAGACGGCGTGGTGCGGCTTGGCCGACGGCTGAGAGGCCGGCAGCCGGCCGTTGATGATGTCAGAGTAGAGGATGGACGAGAACTTGGAGTAGAGGCCGGCGTCGAGCTTGTTGAACTTGCAGATGAACGAGTGCTTAACAGAGTCGACCACAATCTCTGAGGCCCAGAAGATGAGGACCGAGCGGCCGGTGCGGCCGAGGAACTCGGCCCAACTCGCCTGGGCATCTTGGACCAGGTTCTGGAGACAGACGACAGCAAGAAAGATGAACAGCTGAGCGCGCTCGACAATGTCTGCGCACGCTAGCTGGAACAAGTTCTCCTTGACACACCGCTTAAAGACAGACTTTTTGAGCTCGATGATCTGGTTGGAGACGAGGAGGGTGACAAGTGCGTTGTTGTACGAGTTGATGGCAACGTTGATGGAGACCGAGAGAGTAAAGAGGACAGCAGCATGGATAGCGACGTAAACGACAGCCGCGAGAGCCGAGCCTAGGATCGGCAGAGTGCCAAAGGCCATGATGACCTCGTGCGGGCCCGAGAGCCCGCGGCGGCCGCCGGTCACGCGGGTCACCGACGCGCGGAGCAGGCCAAAGAGGGTATCGAGGATGTCGAGTCCGAGCGCGCAGCAGAGCTTGTCGAAGATCTCACAGCAGTTGAAAATGACGTACAGCTTGATGGACGACTGACCACGGACCATATGGTAGACGTACGAGGCGTCGACGAGCGAGAGCAGGGCAAAGCAGGCGGCAAAGATGAGACCGCGGAGCAGATCGCAGGCCTGCTGCGATGAGAGAGGAGCGCCAAGACCGCAGACAGCGCCGGGGAGAGTTGTCAGGGCCACGGCAATGCGGACAGGAAGAAAAGTCAGATGGTAGAGCAGCGCATCGAGGCAGACAAAGAAGCCCATGGTCAGCAGCTTCTCCAACTCCCACGGAACTTTGAAGAAGAACTTGGCCACTTCTGCCGCCACGGGACCATCAGAGCTCGCAGCATAGCCATGATGAAACTCGGACCATAGATAGTCACCCAATCCGACCTGTTTCCCACCAGCCACCACCACCTTGCTCTGTCCTTCTCTATCTCCACCATGCCCATGTCCATGCCCATGCCCTCCTTCCCGCCCGCCACCACCACCACCACCACCACCACCACCACCTCGTCCTCCTCCTCCCACCACCGCACCCACTCGCCCACCACTTCTGACGCCCTCGCTCACCGCACCCTTCTTCCGTCTCCGCGCCATAATGACCTCTTCCCCACCAGTTCTGTATATGTGAGCAGTGGTGTGCGTGCGAGTGTGCGTGTGTGTGTGGGGTGGGTGTGGTTGCCCCCCCCCCCCACCCCCGTCCGCTGACTCGTGTCGTGTTCCGGTGGCTGAGCGAGGTGAGTTACTGGCGGATGATGGTGTTGATCAGATCGGTGGGGAAAGCGGACGGAGGAAGGGAGGAATTGGTCGATTGGATTGACTGGGTACATCGGGTCGGATTTGTGGGCGGACGCAGCGGCTGGAGATGGGATGGTGTCGTGCGCGTCGTGCGCGTCGAGTGAGTCAACCGGGTCGGCCTGGTCGGCCTGGTCGGCCTGGTCGGCCTGGTCGGCCTGATCGGCCTGGTCGGCCTGGTCGGCCTGATCGGGCGGGTTTGATGGGGGGAGGGGTGAGGGGGAGTGTTGATCAGCTGTTGGGAGAAGGGGCTGGAGACGAAGCAGTGTCGATGTCGGTGATGGTGGTGATGGCGTTGGGTGGGCGATCAGGTGGGGTCGGTCGGGTCGGTCGGATCGGTCGGATCGGTCGGAGCGTCAGCCACAGCTCTCCCTTTGGCTACCACGGGGGAATGTGTGTGTGTGGGTGGGTGACGACTTTCGGACTCGGCTGGAGACCCCCCCCCTTCCCCTGTCCGCTGACTCATGTCGTGTCCCGGTGGCTGAGCGAGGTGAGTTACTGGCGGATGATGGTGTTGATCAGATCGGTGGGGAAAGCGGACGGAGGAAGGGAGGAATTGGTCGATTGGATTGACTGGGTACATCGGGTCGGGGTTGTGGGCGGACGCAGCGGCTGGAGATGGGATGGTGTCGTGCGCGTCGTGCGCGTCGAGTGAGTCGACCGGGTCGGCCTGGTCGGCCTGGTCGGCCTGATCGGCCTGGTCGGCCTGGTCGGCCTGATCGGGCGGGTTTGATGGGGGGAGGGGTGAGGGGGAGTGTTGATCAGCTGTTGGGAGAAGGGGCTGGAGACGAAGCAGTGTCGATGTCGGTGATGGTGGTGATGGCGTTGGGGGGGGGCGATCAGGTGGGGTCGGTCGGGTCGGTCGGATCGGTCGGATCGGTCGGAGCGTCAGCCACAGCTCTCCCTTTGGCTACCACGGGGGGAAAGGGGGGGAAGACGACATGGGCGACGACCTTCGGACTCGGCTGGAGAACAAGCTCCGTAGCGGCGAGTATGATTGCGCCATTTGTATTGGACCGCTGGTGGAGAAGCAGCATGGCGGTGGTGGTGGTGGTTGTGGTGTGGGCGGGAGCGAGCAGAGTGGCGCCTGGGCCTGCTCGACCTGCTTCCAGCTGTTCCATGTCTCGTGTGCGGCAAGTTGGCGACTGTCGTCTGCGGATGCGGTTGGTGCCTGGCGATGTCCTCTATGCCAATCGCCGCAGACGAGTGTGCCATCGGTGGCATCGGCTACCTGCTTCTGTGGTAGCTCGTCGCTGGCTGCTCTGGCTCTCGAGTCGGCAGCTGCCGCCTCTGATCAGACGCCGTTCTCGTGCGGTGCGCCTTGCGGCGGTAGCCGGCCGGGCACGCTCTGTCCGCATCCATGTCCGCTTGTCTGCCATCCGGGCCCGCATCCACCGTGCTCGGCCACCTCGCCCCCGCTGCCTTGCTTTTGCGGCGCAGAGTCCAAGGTCTTGCGGTGCTCGGTGCCGGCTGCGGCCACCCGATGGGCCTGCGAGGGCGTGTGTGGTCGAGAGTTGGCGTGCGGCAACCATGTGTGCAAAGCAGTGTGTCATGACGGACCCTGCGATCTGTGTCCGGTCATCGACTGCGTCCGCTGCTTCTGCGGCAAAGCCCAACTGGAGCTCGAGTGCGGACACGACGCCGCCGATCGGGGGTGCGGCGAGGTGTGCGGCAAGCCGCTGGAGTGCGGCAAGCACGGGTGCATGCGCGAGTGCCATGATGGGCCGTGCGGGCCGTGTCCTTACGCGCCAGAGCGGATGTACACCTGTCCTTGCGGACAGAGCTCGCTGCTGGAGCTACTCCCCGACGACGGGCAGCGGAGTGTGTGCACGGATCCGATTCCCCTCTGCTCTCAGGTCTGCTCCAAGAGGTTGCAGTGCGGTCACACGTGCAGCGAGATGTGCCATCTCGGGGCCTGTCCACCTTGCGGCAAGGAGGTGAGGCCATGGTGCCGTTGCGGGCGGTCGCGGCTGAGATTGGTGTGCTCTGAGACGGATGCCGAGACGCCGCCTACTTGCCTTGCGAGATGCGGCGAGAGACTCAAGTGCGGGCGGCATCAGTGCGACAAAGTTTGCTGCGCCAACGACGCTCACGAGTGCATGGCAGTGTGCGGCCGGAAGCTCGAGTGCGGGAGTCACCGATGCGCTGAGCCGTGCCACTCTGGAGCATGTCCGCCGTGCCTACACACCTCGTTCGATGAGCGGGTCTGTCCTTGCGGCGCGACGGTGGAGGAGCCGCCGATCCCGTGCTCGATGCCACCACGGCCCTGTAGCGGAACTTGTCCGGCCGAGTACGAGTGTGGGCATGCGACGCCGCACACGTGCCACACCACTGGCTCCTGTCCGCCGTGTGTGCATCTTGTGACCAAAGAGTGTTGGTGTGGCGAGAGCACACGCGACCACTTGCCGTGCCATCTGGCGGGCTTTTCGTGCCCACGCGAGTGTGGCGCGACCGGCCCGTGCGGCGTACATCGGTGCCGCCGGCTGTGCCATGCTGGAGCGTGCTTCCCACTTGTTGCGGGGAGTCGTGCGGTGGACGGTGTGAGAAGCGAATGGCCTGCGGGCACTCATGCGGCGGGCGATGCCACCCAGGCACCGAGTGCGATGTTGGAGCGTGCCAGGCGTCAATTGGGCGGTCATGCCCATGCGGGCTACGGACGCGGATCGAGACTTGCCGCGGAGTCGAGCCTGCTCCGCTTGAGTGCAATGCAGCATGTGCGGCCGAGGTGGTGCTGGCTCAGCAGCGTGCAGCTTCGGCGAGCACTCTGCGGGCGCGAAGCTACATCCAGACGCGATGGAGTAGCGAAGCGTCTGCCGCCCCAGCGGCGCCTGTCATTCACGGCGTCCGTGCTTCTGCACTGGGCAGCGGCGCGGTGCCCGCTGCCGAGCTTGAGCGTGTCTTGGGTGAGCATGCTGGCGCCGAGGGCGTGTTTATCGTGAGCGGTAGCGAGGCGGTGGTGATTATGGCGAGCCAGAGCGAGGCCAAGGACGCTATTGCTGCACTGCGCCGAGCAGTCAACGAACACGGCCTCCTGTACTCGGAGTGGCGCGGATCGGCCGGTGACGTAACGTCGCTCGCGCTCGACGCCGCCGCGTATGAGCAGAGGCAATCCCAGATGGGAGCCGGAACCAATGTGTACCAGTTGCTGGAGGTTGAGGCGCTGATGCCAGGTGTCGAGGACATGCCTGTGCTTCCGGGTCCAACGCCTGAGGAGGTGGCGGAGGAGAGGGCGCGGGTTAAGGCGGCCGCAGCCGAGGCCAAAAAGGCTCGTAAGGCGGCGGCGGCAGCAGCAGCCGAGGCCGAGGCCAAGGCGCTGGCCAAGGCGGCACGCAAGGCCGAGAAGGCCAAGAAGCGGTGCCGTAAGGAAAAGTGTAAGGTCAACATTGTCAACTCGGGCATCCAGTGTGACACGTGCAAGCTGATCTTCTGCCTCGATCATCGGCTGCCCGAGTCGCATGGGTGTGGAAAGGCCAAAGCACGCGCAGTGCGCACCGAGGCTCAGCGCGGAGCCAAGCAAGACCTGAACTATATGCGGCGGATGGGGACCTCACAGCCACCGCCCAAGCTGACGCGGGAGCAGCTCAAGGCTAAGGCGCGTGCTGCGGCCAGCGGTGGGAAGAACGCCCCGGGGGGGAGCAGCGCCAAGAAGAAGAAGCTCAAGGACAAGCGGGGGATCAACCGCAATGTCAAGAATAAGAAGAGGCGCAAGTGATAACATGGCAGTCTTATTGCTCCGAATCGGAGTCGGTCTCGTACGAGTACTCGACGGGCGGGCCAAACTCAAAGGCGGGCGCACGCCGACGGACGACGTCGTCGCGAGGCTCGTACGAGACGTCGGGCGCATCGGTCTTGCGGCGGAGTGCGGCGTCGTCGCGTGCCTTCATCTTGCTAAAGTTGACGTTCGGCTTGTGGTCGCCGTCCTTGACATCGTACACCACATCGACAACATCCAAGACCTGCGACGGTCGCGACAGCTGCTTGTCCATCTTGAGCATGGTCTGGCCTGTCCGCTTGCGAGTGACGCGGATGCCGTCCTCAGTGTCGTACACCTTGTCGACCGCATTCGAGGTGTCAAACAGCTTACCCCGGGCGGCCTGCTTGTCCATCCGTGGTGTGAGCTTGACCTTGTCATTGACCTTGGCGTCGTAGATGGCGTCCACAGCATTGCCAGTCTCGAACAGCTCATCGCGGCCGCGAAAGCGCGAGTAGTCCATGGCTCGGCGCGAGGCATCCTCGAGGTTGGGATCGTACGGCTCGTACGAGACGTCAGGCGCATCAGTCTTGCGGCGGAGTGCGGCGTCGTCGCGTGCCTTCATCTTGCTAAAGTTGACGTTCGGCTTGTGGTCGCCGTCCTTGACATCGTACACCACATCGACAACATCCAAGACCTGCGACGGCCGCGACAGCTGCTTGTCCATCTTGAGCATGGTCTGGCCTGTCCGCTTGCGAGTGACGCGGATGCCGTCCTCAGTGTCGTACACCTTGTCGACCGCATTCGACGTGTCAAACAGCTTGCCCCGGGCGGCCTGCTTGTCCATCCGCGGTGTGAGCTTGACCTTGTCATTGACCTTGGCGTCGTAGATGGCGTCCACAGCATTGCCAGTCTCGAACAGCTCATCGCGGCCGCGAAAGCGCGAGTAGTCCATGGCTCGGCGCGAGGCATCCTCGAGGTTGGGATCGTACGGCTCGTACGAGACGTCGGGCGCATCAGTCTTGCGGCGGAGTGCGGCGTCGTCGCGTGCGGTCATGGCAGCCATGTTGATTGACCGCTGGCGGTCTTGGCGCGGCTGATCATAGACGACATCAACGAGGTCATACAGCGCAATTTCATGGCCCTTTTGGGTGTCAAACGATGGTCCCACGCGAACTCGTGGCTCAACGACGCGGTGCGCTGAGGCCACGTCATAGTCAGCGTCGACAACTTTGGACCGCTCCAGCCACTCAGCCTTGCGCTCTGGCTGGGTCTTCCATGACAGCACGCCCTTGGCCCGACGGTCGACATCAGTGTCATAGAACCGATCGGGAGCTTCAGACTTTGGACCAAACTGCGCGGTCCGCGGGACGAACGATCGCTTGTATTTGCGTCGTCTGCGGCGACGGCCCGAGGCCGGCGGCGGGCGGGCGTTGCGCCTCCGGCTCGTCTCCTCGCGCCGACTCTCCTTCCGCACCGAGTCCAGGACCCGATATGCCGGCGCTTTTCCGGTATCGCCACCAGCCGCTTGTCGACGCCATGGGCGCTGCCGTCGTGTCCGCTGCACCGATCGTGATGGTGAGCCGAGTAGCGGCAGCCTCTCTTCCTTGTCCTTAACGCGAGATCCATGACCGCTCTGTCGGCGCGATCGGGTTGACGACGTCGATCGCTGACTTGCAAGACCCGCAGCAACGTGGGTACCACTGCTCGGCCTGTTTCGTCTCTTTCGCGGTGTTTGCACTGCCTCTGCCACCATCATCTCGCCCTCGATCCCGTCTTCCTTGCTTCTTCCTCCGTCCTCCTTCCTCGCCTGTTGCTGCTGCTGGTGCCTGCTTCTCCGTGGCGAGGCCGCGGCTCTACTTCCACGGGGGCGTCTTGGTTGTCTTTCTCCTACCGGTGTCTGCGGCATTCTCTACCGGTCGTGCTCTTGCCCTTGCCGCGGGAGAGGGTGTGTACGGCAGGCAGGGGTGAGATATTGGCACTCTGCTTGGTTTGGGCGTTGGTGGAGGAAATGGTGGCTGGCCGACAAACGATTGATTCGCTGCCGGCTATTGGCAAGCGCACTGGCAGGGTAACGATTAATGGACCGTTGGCCATGACTATGGCTCGGCCACGATTAATGAACGGTTGGCCATGATGATGGCTCTGCCACGATTAATGGACGGTTGGCCATGACTATGGCTCTGCCACGATTAATGGACCGTTGGCCATGACTATGGCTCGGCCACGATTAATGAACGGTTGGCCATGATGATGGCTCTGCCACGATTAATGGACCGTTGGCCATGACTATGGCTCGGCCACGATTAATGGACCGTTCGTTGGCCATGATGATGGCTCTGCCACGATTAATGGACCGTTGGCCATGACTATGGCTCGGCCACGATTAATGAACCGTTGGCCATGACTATGGCTCGGCCACGATTAATGGACCGTTCGTTGGCCATGATGATGGCTTGGCAAATTCGTGCGAATTGAGTAGGAGAGCAGCCAGTTGAGGGAGGTGGACAGGAGCCAGAGAGGACAGCGGCGGGCGAGGGGGGGGGGGGAGGGAAGGACGGGATCCGAGCACGTAACTCGCACCTGTGGAAGTAGGGATGCCAAAGCTGCGTGTTGTGGTGGAACATAGCAATGGAGATGGCGG